ATATAAAGAATCCTAGGAAGGTAGAGCAAGGAAGCTGTCCGTCCACAGTTAGCACCTGAACAACAGAGTCAGCAAGTAGATAGTCTCCAATTTATTTATTTATTATTTATTTATTTGGTGCATTTATTAACCGCCATTCTCAGCCCTCTAGGGCGACTCATGGCGGTGTACAGCATAAAAAGGCAATTTACAAAAAGAGAATTACCAACAACATATTAGCAATACAGCAATACAACAATTATAAAGTTACACTAACTAATCCGCTTCGTCTCATAGTAGAATCGTAACCAATCTCGTATTCCTTGTTCCATTCCAGTCATCTTTACCACATTATTATTATAGCACTTAATTAAATGCCCTCTCGAACAGCCATGTCTTAAGGCTTTTTCGGAAGGACATAAGGGAGGGCGCCTGCCTGATGTCTGTAGGGAGAGTGTTCCACAGCCGGGGGGCCACCACTGAGAAGGCCCTCTCTCTCGTCCCTGCCAGGCGTGCCTGTGAGGCAGGCGGGATCGAGAGAAGGGCCTCCCCAGACGATCTCAAGGTCCTCGTGGGCTCATAGGCCAAGATGCGGTCTGAAAGGTATTTTGGGCCGGAACCGTTTAGGGCTTTGTAGGATAACACCAGCACCTTGAATTGGGCCCGGTAGCAAATCGGCAGCCAGTGGAGCTGGGCCAACAAGGGCGTTGTATGCTCCCTGCGTCCCGCTCCCGTTAGTAACATGGCTGCCGCGCGCTGAACCAGCTGAAGCTTCCGGGCCGTCTTCAAGGGCAGCCCCACGTAGAGAGCGTTGCAGTAGTCAAGGCGGGATGTGACCAGAGCGTGTACCACCGTGGCCAAGTCAGACTTCCCGAGATACGGGCGCAGCTGGCGCACGAGCCTAAGCTGTGCAAATGCTCCCCTGGTCACCGCTGAAACCTGGGGATCCAGGCTCAACGATGAATCCAGGATCACACCCAAGCTGCGAACCTGCGCCTTCAAGGGGAGTGCGACCCCATCCCGCACAGGCTGTAACCCTATACCCTGTTCGGCCTTGCGACTGACCAGGAGTACCTCTGTCTTGTCTGGATTTAATTTCAGTTTGTTCGCCCTCATCCAGACCATTACAGCGGCCAGGCACCGGTTCAGGACCTCGACAGCCTCCTTAGTAGCAGGTGGAAAGGAGTGACAGAGTTGGACATCATCTGCGTACAGATGACACCGCACCCCGAACCTCCGGATGATCTTACCCAGCGGCTTCATGTAGATATTAAACAGCATGGGGGACAGTATGGAACCCTGTGGAACCCCACAAGTCAAAGGTTGTGGCGTAGAACAGGAGTCCCCCAATAACACCTTCTGGGTGCGACCCTCCAGGAATGACTGGAGCCACTGCAAAGCAGTGCCCCCAAGGCCCATTTCCGCAAGGCGCCCCAGAAGGATACTGTGGTCGACAGTATCGAAGGCCGCTGAGAGGTCCAGGAGCACCAACAGGGACACACTCCCCCTGTCTAGCTCCAAGGCTCATTATGACCATTCCTGATGGTGTCATGTGGAGGCTAAACATCAATTAAAGAAAGATAGTGCCAGGCACAATTCCAAAGAATCTAAGGTCCCGTCTACACTACTATATAATCCGGTTTCTGAACATTCAGTCATTAATTAGAATTAATTAGTCACAATTAATTAATATGCAACTGGATGATGCCTAAGCACTTTCTACCACCTCGATGCTCCCACCTCAGTTAGGACATGACTGTGACAGTGATCTAAGACCATCTGAAGCTATCTTCTCTAGAAGATGAAGAGATCAAGAATTCCAGTCACAAAATATAAGGTTTTAACTCCAACCAATGAGAAAACATCCATCTATTTGGAAATTAGGTATTTAAAGATCTGTTTCAAACAGAAAATGCCAAACTTTTCCCAGTTCTGATTTTGTAGTTTTTCAAGCACAGGTTTTTACAAATGGGAATCCAGAGAAAGATGGTCAAAGATTTAGAAAATGAACTTTATGAAAAATGATATAGGGAGCTTCAAAGCAGGTAATCTGGGGTCAGAAACTGGATTATACGGCAATGTAGATCCAGCCTAAGAAACAATCTCCCAATGCAAAGGCCTGATAGAACCAAAACCACTAAAATACAGGGTCTCTTGGGCCAATATAGTGAACCAGTCTAGAATTATAGAACTGGAATGGACTACAAGGGCAAGCCAGTCAACCCCTTTGTCACGCAGGAATACACAAAGTAGAGAACTCCTGAAATATGCTACACAAACTCTGTTTAAAGACAACCTAAGAAGGAAAGTCCACCATTCTCTGAAGCAATATATCCCACCGTTGAACAGCTTTTACCGCAAATAAGCTCTTCCTAATGTTTAAATAGAATTGTTTTTCTTGTAATTTAAATTCATTGGTTTCTAACCTCTGGAGAAGCTGGAAAAAACTTTCTTCTTATTTTACCTTCGGACATAAAAATATAGGAATCAGATTACCCTTCACTTTTCACCACACTTCATGTATCCAAGCTCCCTATATCATTTTTCATAAGGTTCAGTTTCCAAATCTTTGACCATCTTTCTCTGGATTCCCATTTGTAAAAACCTGTGCTTGGAAAACTGTACAAAATAAGAACTGGAAAAAGTTTAACGTTTACAGTTCAAAACAGACCTTGAAATACCTGATTTCCAAAGAGATAAATGTTTTCTCATTGGTTAGAGTTAAAATCTTATATTTTGTGACTACAGTTCTTGATCTCTTCATCTTCTAGAGAAGATAGCTTCAGGTGATCTGAGACCACTGTCACAGGCATTTACTGACTGAGGTGGGAACGTTGAGGTGGGAGAAAGCACTTAGGCATTATCCAGTCGCAAATTAATTAATTGTGACTAATGAATTCTAATAAATGACTGAATGTATTGATTATTCCTATTGAATTATTTACAGTGACAGAAATAAAGCCATGGTATTCCCCGTAGTAACCTATGGATGTGAGAGGTGGACCATAAGGAAGACTGAGCAAAGGAAGATAAACGCTTTTGAACTGTGGTGTTGGAGGAAAATTCTGAGAGTGCCTTGGACCGCCAGAAGATCCAACCAGTTCATACTTCAGGAAATAAAGCCCGACTGCTCACTGGAGGGAAGGATATTAGAGGCAAAGATGAAGTACTTTGGCCACATAATGAGAAGACAGTAAAGATTGGAGAAGGTAATGATGCTGAGGAAAATGAAAGAAAAAAAAGAAGAGGGGCCGACCAAGGGCAAGATGGATGGATGGTATCCGTGAAGTGACTGGCTTGACCTTGAAGGAGCTGGGGGTGGCCACGGCCAACAGGGAACTCTGGCATGGGTTGTTTCAGGAGGTCACAAAGAGTAGGAAGCAATTAAACGAATAAACAGCAACAAATGGTGCATAACATTATCTTTGTGTGAAAAAAATAGAGCTATTGTAATGATTTCCTAAACTGACACTTTTATTATTCGACTTCCCTAGATTGGATGGTGCAAATAATGAAATGCAGACTTGCTGCCATATCTGTTCTGCATATTCTCTGTTAAAACATGACCCTTTTCCATAAGAATGCAAACCAAAAGTATTATGAAGCCATGGGAATATCTTCTTATCTGTTGTCTCAATCAGAGCTTGGTAAGTTCCTTTTAAAAAAAAACAGTAGAAATAAGAATTAGTGAGATGTTAACTTATTTTTAGAAGAATGGCCATCGTGACACCTTGAAGCCATCCAGGCTGAGCAATGGTAGGATGATGACCTAGTCCTATACAGTCTGTCACTATAACAATTCTCCTTATAAATAACTTTTAATGCTGTGTGGTAAAACATTTTGGCTTGGACCTGAATAAAATAAAATGTTACTAGTGAAGGCAGGATTTCATAGTTTAAATCCACCCACCCATCCATCCTATCTTCGGTTTCGAAAACAGGTGTTACAGTGAGATGCTGGCTTTTAGAGTTCAGAAAGAAGAACCAAGTAAAGGTATTTAAAAACAGGAGTGTGAATTGTGCAATCCTCCAGATGTTTATTTATTTACTGTATTTATACCCCACCCTTCTCACCCTGAAGGGAACTCAGAGGCTTACAAGTGAACAACAATTCAATGCCACATATACAAACATACAACAAAATAAATATATGCATTAAAAACCATAAAACTGAAAAACATCTAAAATTAATACCAATTACTAAATCCACACAATTCAAAATCATAATCCAGGAGCAATTCCGGTTGTAATTGCACTTATTCCATATTACTTAATGCACTGAGTTCACTGTCCGAAGGTTTGGTCCCACAGCCATGTTATTAATTTCTTTCTAAAGGTCAGGAGGGAGGGAGCTGACCTTATTTAACTGAGGAGGGAGTTCCATAGCCAAGAGGCCACCCCTGAGAAGGCCCTGTCTGTTGTCCCCACCAACTGCACCTGCAAAGGAGGTGGAACCGAGAGCAGGGCCTCTCCAGAAGAGCTTAACCTCCAAGATACATTCAGACAGGTAAGCTGGGCCAGAACCATAGGGTAAAGCTAACACTTGGAATTGAGCATGGACCACCGTGGCCAAGTCTGGCTTCTCAAACTGCAACTCCTAGCAATCTTCAACATTGCCTATGCTGACTAAGGCTATTGGGAACAACAATCCAACAACATCCAGAGGGTGGCATAATTCCTAGCCATCTTGTAAAAGAAAGAAAAAAGCAGAAACAAGTCTAAGATTAAGAAGAAAACAATGCACTTTAGAGCATCACTGTGAGCATTCGGAAAAACAATGCTCTGTAGGAAAAAGAATCATTTTACTAGACACTTGGCATTTTAAGTCCATTTTCTGGTTTTGGATTTAAAATCAAAGATGAGTAGAGCTTTGCTATAGTTGCAACGTACTGTTCGATGTTCTGTTTCTTGCCTGTGGGGACTCAATTATGCTAAATGGTAAAATGGCTGGACGCTTTGTCATTTATCTACTTGAAAGTCAACTGCAGTCCAGCCTTAAATGGGAAACGGCCAAAATGGACGACAGGTCACAGTCAAGGCAGTCTGCATGGGCATCGTCCACTGGGGCCTGCTAATTAACAGAGGAAGGGTTCTGGGGGAAATCTGGATGGTTAATGGCTTTAATTATAGAAAATGCACCGGATCTCCATTTTAGCAACACAGCAAAAAGTTTAATTGCCATGAGTGCAAACATGCTCTAAAAGGGCATTTTCATGCTCCAAAGGTCAATGAACCCAGAGTCGCTGATCTAAATTGCTTTTAATCTGGTTTGATTAGGTGCGGGGCTTCCTGTTTTGCTTCAAGGAAATGGCTTTGCTTTGTCACACCCTTGGGTATATAAGGAGTCCCCGGGTCTCCTGTTGAATGCCAGATTCCCATTGTGCCTCAAGAGCTACTTTGAAAGATCCAAAAGGTAAGGCTCTTGCATTTGTTTGCGACCCGCAGTACCGGAGCCTAGGAAAGTGATCTTTTGAGCAGTGTTTCCAGCAGTGGCCATGCAAGGGTTGCCAGAGTGAAAACAGGAGAGAATTTCTTAGAAGATGTGCAGAAAAGGACATTTCAGAAGATATTGTCTGTCACAAAACTAGGTAACACTTCCTGAAAATACTTATCCTACAAAACTTAAAGGGACTGTCGTTCCCAATTTTTCACTCTGGGAATCCTAGATGCTGGCTGGGATATTAGGGAAACTGTCCTAAGTTGCTAAAACAGTAACTTTATCATACTCTGCAAAGAGAAGCAACACACCATATTATTATTATTATTATTATTATTATTATTATTATTACTATTATTATTACTATTATTATTTATACCCACCACCATCTCCCCGAAGGCAACTTGGGGCGGCTAACATAAGGCCAAGCCCAAAGATACAATACAGCAAAATAAAATACAAAGTGCAGGCAACAAAGATTTCATCAGAATAAAATACATAAAGTAGCAAAATAAAATAAACAAAAGAGATTGACATATATAAAATCAAACACAATGGGCAGGCCAAATGGACGAGGTAAAATGATAAAACCCTGGTTGAGGTAGGAACAGAAAAAGTGTAATTGAGAGTAGCCCAAAAAGGATGAACAGTGGGGTAAGGCTTTCAGTTTGGGATGGGGGAAAGTACATCATGTGCATGGTTTACGGACTTGGATTTGGTGAACATTGATCACAAGATGTTTTTATTGATGCTAGTATACTGCTGAGTGTTTTAATTAGCTATAACTGTGATATTATATGGTAATTTGTGTATTGTATATTGTATTGTATTTTGTCATTGTTAGGCATTGAATTGTGCCTTTTGTAAGCCGCCCTGAATCCCCCCTAGCGGGTTGAGAAGGGCGGGGTAGAAGCACCCCAAATAAATAAATAAATAAATAAATAATCATAGGGGTAACACTGTATAACCTCTGTTAAAAGTGGAAGGAAATAATTTAGGAATGAGCCAATCTTTTCCAGCTTTGCTTTGCATTCAGTTTTATAAAAACTTCAAGTTCTTTCCATGTTGAATACAAAGAGTTTCACAAATATTGGTGAATTGATATTCTCTCCGAATTTAAGTCAAATTAAGTAAGTTTATCTATGATGATGTTATAATGATGGATAGTGATGTAGTACAGTAGAGTCTCACTTATCCAAGCAATGTAGGTCTTTCAGCCTTTCCTCTGGTTAAAAAAATAAAGAAAAAATTGTTCACTACTGAAAAGAAGAGAAAATATTTTAGGAGAATGAAGAAGCGTCATTAGGGTTTGGTTTGAGTCTCACTTATCCAACCTTTGCTCATCCAACCTTCTGTATTATTCAACATAGTCTGTCTCCTGCCCGGATCCACAGCTGTTTCAATACATTGCAATGTTTTGGTGTGAAATTCGTAAATACAGTAATTACAACATAATTTTACTGTGTATCGAACTGCTTTTTCTTTCAATTTGTTGTAAAACACGATGTTTTGGTGCTTAATTTGTAAAATCATAATGTAATTTGACGTTTAATAGGCTTTTCCTGAATCGCTCCTTATTATCCAACATTTTCGCTTATCAAACATTCTGTTGGCCTGTTTATGTTGGATAAGCGAGACTCTCCTGTATATGTATGTCCGGCTTTATCTCCCAAAGTAGACTCAATACGGTGAACAGTAAACATCATGCAATATGTAAATTAAAACTCAGAGCACACAAATATTAAAATAGAATTAAACACAGGGCTTATTAAAAATACATAGTTAAAACCAATAAAACCATTTAAAAATTCTATTCCAAACAAGGAAAGAAACATGCTTTGCTTGCATGCCTTATAGATGAGCAGTCTTTTGGAAAGGAAAAGGTTGCCTACCTTATTTCAGAATAAATATGGATAAATATAAAGGTTCAAATATGTACTTTTAAAAAAATTACATATAAAAAATTCTGAGCCTAGAAAAATTAATCCATAAAATTCTTCAGCATTTACTTTTTAAAAATTTCAAGTTGTTTCTACCTACAATATAATTGTGATTTTTGTTAACTATTTATTGAAAGCAAACTGAAGCAAACCTAGAGCAGTGATAGGGTGATTTAGAGCAAGAAGTAACAGGCTGGACAGAGGAATGCCAAAAGTAATATAGCTAAATTCTACTTATTCAAGATTGGTAATTCTGTGGTTCAATTGCATCTGATATTAGCAGGCTATATCTGTTAATTGCTCTATAATTTTTTAAAAAATGGAAAAACAAAGAAGCAAATTGGACTATTTGTTTGACAAACTTTTTTTATTCAATTTGAATGTATTTTGCCTATCTTGCATACTGTACGCTCTCATTTTTTAATCGCAGAATTCACCAGCAGATATGATGGCCTTCCAAGTTCTCTCTTTCCTTTTGGTCTCTCTTAGCTTTGTGCTGATGGAGGAGAATGGCACCAAGTTAGTATTCATCAATAAATTGCATATCTTTAAGGAATTTGATCTTTGCCACTTTTAGCGTGAACCTATTTATTCATCAGATTTCATATTTCTTTCAATGCTTTAACTTTCACATTTCAACATCAGTTTTAATTTATGTTAACAATGTTTTAAATGTATATTTTTAAATGCATACATAAATGCACATTTCTGAATAAATATTAAAAGTAGTAGTTTATAGATACATGAGAAAATAGGACAGAAAATGCTTAGGGGTGAAGAATGAAGGGATGTCTGTTCTACTTTTTCCTACATTCAAATACTTTAAACATTGAGTTTTTTCCTTCTTCCATTTGGTTAATTCTCCAGAAAGTAGTAGAAATAATAATAATAATAATAAGAAGAAGAATAATAATAATAATAAGAAGAAGAAGAAGAAGAATCCTAGACACTTGTGAAGTGTCTGACGTGTGATCCAGTACAACAGCCAGCATAGTGACCTTGTTTGCTGTGTACTAATCTTGTTATGTTTCAAATAATAATAATAAAACTTTATTTGTATTCTGTCCTAACTAAAATTCCCCTGGGTTGCTGTGAGTTTTCTGGGCTGGATGGCCATGTTCCAGAAGCATTCTCTCCTGACGTTTTGCCTGCATCTATAGCAGGCATCCTCAGAGGTTGTGAGGTCTGTTGGTAACTAGGAAAATGGGGTTTATATATCTGTGGAATGTCCAGAGTGGGAGAAAGACAGAAGGAAATCATGAAAATGAACAAAATCTGGCAAACAGTATTAAAACGCTCTAAAATCATAACGGTAAATAAAGAACAACACTCAAAAACAGGAGAATTCCAGACAAGAAACAATCAGGGCCAGCAGATCACCTCCCAACAAAGGATTCCCCAAGGCAGTAAGAAGCCATACCTTGAAACTGTTAGGCCATTAAATCAAGGTGGCCAATTGCAACATTCACACCAGCCTCAAACAGACAAGAATACTTTCTCCCACCCTGGACATTCCATAGATATATAAACCCAATTTTCTTAGTTTCCAATAGAACACACAACCTCTCAGGATGCCTGCCATAGATGCAGGTCAATTGTCAGGAGAGAATGCTTCTGGATCAGAGCCATACAGCCAGGAAAACTCACAACAACCCAGTGATTCCGGCCATGAAAGCTTTCAACAATACATTAAAATCCCCCTATTAGTTGTACTGGACTATTTCAGTGGGTGAAATTATTCCTAACTATTCTGTTGCACCTGCCAGCCTTTAAAGATGAGGACCTTTAAAGGGCAGAAAAGGAAAATATGTGAGCCTTAATTCAGTAGTAATAGGATTTTTATACAAATCATTTCAAATACACATGTTGAAGAGTGAAGATTCAACCTTGGGATTGAATCAATGTATTTGTCCATTTTAACTTTATTTTTGAAGATAATTTAAAGTTTTTCCCAACTCAACTATGAACACATTATTTTGCTACATTATTGCAAAACAATAGTAACAAAAACCAAACCAGGATCAAAATCTGTATCCTACTATTTTCTACCCAGTTGCAGAAGTGACATGGACCAAAACCAGATGGAATTGCAAAACTTGGTTCATAAACCCACCAAAAGGCAGGAACTATAACCCTCGCCAAATGAAATGTATGTCCCTGTTGTACATTATTCACTACAGATGCATTGATTGGTCGTAAAGACTTTTTACTGCACAAAATCCATGTACTAAGCTACCAATAACTTAGAACAAATATGTTTGCTTTGGTCTGCTGCAACTTTATGAATTTTTCAATGTCACATTGCAATTATGAGCCAAAGGCTGCATAAAATGAAAAGCTTTAAGCACCAGTTCCACAGATTCAGGCTGCTATTAATTGGGAATGGTTTGGAGAACTGGGATGTGAGCAGCACTTAAACTACACCCTCCCTTCTCCTCTTCCTTAGTATTCAAAGAAAGATGCAGTTAGTGGAAAGCTGGTAACCATCTTTTTCATATTCATGTGGTTTGTACAAACCAAAGTTTGTCCTCAAGCCAAGATCCCAAATTATGGTTTGGTTTCAATATGGGATATGAATATATCAGCAATATAGTAGGTCACATTTGGATGGAATAAGAAACCGCGATTTCCAGCAAATTAGAACTATCTTATCACCTCAAGTGCAAAAAAGAAAAAGTAGGAAACATGAGCAAGTGAGTTGTGCCCTATCTTAACCTATCCACAAATATTTCCTCTTTATACATGCTCTGTGTGCATTTGCTCTTAGGGACAACACAAAGGATTCTAGGTTCCTGAATCGAAGGTATTCAGAAGGAACCTTAGCGAGCGATTACAGCCGAACTTTGGACAACATGCTGAAGAAGAACTTTGTAGAATGGCTCTTGAACAGGAGGGAGAACCGGATTGAGTAAGTCATAGCACACATCCTTCCTAAATTTCTATCCTGGATTTGTGTGTGTGTGTTTGTGTGTCAGGAGCGACTTGAGAAACTGCAAGTCGCTTCTGGTGTGAGAGAATTGGTCGTCTGCAAGGACATTGCCCAGGGGACACCTGGATGTTTTTCATGTTTTGCCATCCTTGTGGGAGGCTTCTCTCATGTCCCTGCATGAGGAGCTGGAGCTGACAGAGGGAGCTCATCTGCACTCACCCAGATTTGAACCACCAACCTGTCGGTCTTCAGTCCTGCTGGCACAAAGGTTTAACCCATCTTGGATTAACAGATAAAGTTATTCCCTGTCATTAAGTTCAGTTGTGTACAACTCTGGGGTTGATGCTCATCTCCATTTCTAAGCTGAAGTGCCAGCATTGTCCATAGACACCTCCAAGGTCATGTGGCCGGCATATCGGCATGGAACGCCATTAACTTCCCACCAGAGCGGAAGAAGTAGAAGAAGAAGAGGAGGAGGAGGAGGAGGAGGAGGAGGAGGAGGAAGAAGAAGAACTTTATTTTTCTACCCTGCCTCCATCTTCCCGAAGGGACTCGGGGCAGCTTACATGGGGCCAGACCCAGACAACATACAATTAAAAGCAGAGCAATAACAAATTACAATTTAAAAAAGCATAAAACAGCATAACAATACCTATTAATCTACTCACATTTGCATGTTATCGAACTGCTAGAAGCTGGGACTAACAGCAGGAGCTCACCCCGTTCCCCAGATTCAAACCTGTGACCTTTCGGTCAGCAAGTTCAGCAGTTTAACCCACTGCACCACCACAAACAAAGAAAGATTGAATGGTTTGACCTTGCTCAAGTTTTCATGTCTCCATCCTCTATATGTGAGCCTTACAAAGCATAGGCAATTTTATATGAAGGTAGTTTAGTGTAACTCTCAAAAACTAGCCACATTATCCTTTCTAAAATAAGAGTTATTATCAGATCCCTATTTTCTTCTATCAGGATTTTCATTACACAAAGCAATCCCAGGGTATATTGAGCATAGTTTAGAGAAGGAAAAAGTAATGTCTTGTTAACAAACCCAACTGAAAAAGTAGTGTTTTTACATCCTTATTGAGATCTCAGAATTGTATCTTCTTCTTATGTATTTTCCCCAAGTAACAGCCTTGAGCCATCCAAGAGAGAAGTCAAACTCCCAGCATTGCAGGAAAGGAATGAAGGCACTGAAGTTGGAACCAAGGAGGCAAAGGAGTGCATTCGCTGGCTTTTGTCAAATGTGGGGAAACAGAGGTGAGTTTAAACCACATCTATACTACAATAAGGTTCTATTTCGTACAAGAAACACGTGATTTCATTTATTTCCTATCTTTTCCAAGAATGAGATTCAAGGATGTATTTTAGTATAGGTGGAACATTTAAATCGTAGGACAGAGGCTAAACTAACCTAAGGTTCCCACATTTTCACCCAATATTTAAGTGCCATTCATAATATCCTCAGAGAAAAGCAAGGGAAAAACCACTCTGAGCAAATTCTTCCCTTGACAGGTTCATTGTAAGGTTGCCATTTGTTTGTAAAGATTTGAAAGCACACACAGAAGCAAAAATTGCTTTGATTGTATGGAGTTATGTATCACAGATACTTTTGAAAATAGTAAGGACACCATGATGTGCTGTAACATAATAAGGTAAAGGTAAAGGTAAAGGTTTTCCCCTGACATTAAGTCCAGTCGTGTTCGACTCTGGGAGGTGGTGCTCATCTCCATTTCTAAGTCAAAGAGCCGGCGTTGTCCATAGACACCCCCAAGGTCATGTGTCCGGCATTACCATTACCTTCCCGCCGGAGCGGTACCTACTGATCTACCTACTTGAACTGCTAGGTTGGCAGGAGCTGGGGCTACAAGTGGTTGCTCATGCCACTCCCAGGATTCAAACCTGCGACCTTTTGGTCAGCATAATAACATAATAACTGGTAACCATTTTGGGAAATGGGGTGTGGGGAATGTCAATGCTTACTGCATCCAACCTCTCTTTGTTACAATTAGTAATTTCCTGTAAGGCATGAAACATCAATTGAAGCCTATAACAGGAATTGTATGGATTGGCAACAAATACCAGGTGCTTTAGGCTGTGTTTGAGAGGAAGGAATTGGCAAAACCACCTAAGAAAAAACAATGAAATCCATGGTTGCACCATAAGTAGACAGGCGACTTGAAAGTACACACACAAGTGTGTGCACGCACATACCCTAACAATTCTGCAGTGCCAGCATCACATGTTTTGACTTGCCTAGGCCACCATATGCCTGGGATCTTTCCCAGCTTTGCTCAAACTACAGCGCTTTCACAACTTCTCTTTATTTTTTTACCATCTCAATATCTGGGATCCTACTGTCAGGAAATATAAGGCTCACTGTTCTTTTTTGTAGGCTTCCTTTGTCAAATGGTTTGGATGACTGGAAGAACATCTTGAAGCAAGAATTTATCTTTTGGCTTATTTCTGCTGACCTTTGCAAACCAATGTGAGTGAATGGCATGTTTATTTTCACACACACCCCGCCCCTTATTCAACAGCCAAGTATGGTTGGGTTATGGGCACAATCCTTGTTATAGTCACAAAATGACAGTACTTTGATTTCACTGTAACTATTACAGCGATGGAATCCTGGGATTTGAATTTTAGGGAGACAATAGAGTAGACATGGGCAGACTTCGGCCCTTCAGGTGTTTTGGACTTCAACTCTCACAATGCCTATCGGCTGTTAGGAATTGTGGTAGTTGAAGTCCAAAAAAAACCTGGAGGGCTGAAGTTTGCCCATGCCTACCCTAATAATAATAATAAGAGTAACAACAACAACAACAACAATAACAACAATACACCAAATTCCTCTGGGACTTCTGGATTCAGACAGAATTTTGGAGCATCATATTCTTGACCTCAAAATCATGTTAAAAAACAAAGTATGGATCGTCAATGTTGCAATCCCAGGTGACAGCAGGATTGAAGAGAAACAACTGAAAAAGCTGACACGATGTGAAGATTTAAAGATCGAACTGCAAAGACTCTGGCACAAGCCAGTAAAGGTGGTCCCAGTTGTGATCGGCACACTGGGTGCAGTGCCTAAAGACCTTGGCCTGCACTTAAACACAATCGGCACTGGCAAAATTACCATCTGCCAGTTGCAGAAGGCCACCTTACTGGGATCTGCACACATTATTCGCCGATACATCACACAGTCCTAGACACTTGGGAAGTGTCCGACGTGTGATCCAATTCAACAGCCATCAGAGTGTCTGCTGTGGACTCATCTTGTTGTGTTTCAAGTAATAATAAAACTTTATTTATACCCCCCCACCATCTCCTTGACAGGGACTCGAGGCGGCTAACATGAGGCCAAGCCCAAACAATTACATCAAATCAAATCAAATACATACAGCAAATAATAACATCAAATGAAATGTAAACAGACAAATTCATACAAAATCAAATTTAAAAAACCAAATAGAAAAAGAAGAAAAATTAAAATGTGCAGAGAATGGCAGAGAATTCTAAATACTATAAATCCCAGGATTTGTAGAGTAGAATCATGTTAGTTACCAACATGCTATCATTGTATAGTGTTTAAAGAAGCCAAACTTGTGAAGCAGCAGATTATCTGAAAGATACAGTCTTGATGGCATTATGCCAGAAACTCTCAGGTATTCCTCCCTGTTGCTTATTGGCACTCAAGTGCTGACTGTGCATAGCCTGACACATGCCACTGTTAAGTATTTTGGTTTCAGACTTAGTCATATTGAAACCAACATAATACAAATTCGTCATAATTATGTTAATCTAGTAGGTTTAATAGTTAGATTCAAACCAAAATATTCACAGCAATTTTATCTAATATAGAACATCTATCATAACCTCTGAGGATGCTTGACATAGATGTGGGCAAAATGTCAGGAGAGAATGCTTCTGGAACCTGGCCATACAGCCCGGAAAACTCACAGCAACGCATTCATTTAGTTAGTTTTTTGAACCTATGCCCCAACATAGAATTCTGAGACTTTAGAAAAGGTAGATTTATTTCTGCTTTATGAGACAGGGATGATGACAACTGTGACAATGCTGCTCAGCTTTGGATGCTCGTGGACTAATGAACTAATGAACACTTGGTCTCAGGAACTCATTCATCAGGCTCTTAAACCAAGTTTTTCATCAACCATGTTTTTGTTTTCCCCAGGATGCAGTAGATTGAGGAGGAAGATGCAACTACTTCTACAGTCTTTCTTTTGTGCCTTTTGGTAATGAGTACCTATCAGTAATGATGACATGCTACTAAGAACAATAAAAAGTGTATTCTCAAATTGAAATGTGTTTCAGAATATTATTTAGTAAGGAAAAAACAGAAAGAAAATTTAACTAACTTGTAGGTTTGTTCATCAATGGAGATAGCCAAGGAACATACCCACCTTTCATTAACTCCATTTAACATGGCTGTACTTTTCTATTGTCAAAAGATGTGTTCAAGGGGTCAACATCACTAAAAACAAATCAAACAATTAACCCAATTAAGTCTGCTTTCTGATTGGTTTGTTGGATCCTGAAATTAGACACAACTTATGTCATTGTCCCAGTTTCTGTGTTGTCAGTCTTTCCCCTCTTAGTTTCAAATTGACCCACAATTCAATGTATGTCATCCTGAACATACAATAGGCATATCTATAAATGAGCTCTTATTCTATTTGAAAAAGGTGGGTGGCTTACTTCAAGTGTGGCCAACCTGTGGCATGTTGATATAGGCAAAGAAGAGGTTCATCTGTAGTACATAATGAAGTAATGTCCCCTGTCCAGAGCTTGAAATTGTAACTTTTGGGACCACAGTTTCCATTATCCTCAGTCAGCATGGTCAGTGGAGTTGCAATGCAACTTTTCTAAGATCTGTAACATAGTGAGCCTTTGATATCTGTTGGGCTTTCAAGTCCCATTATATACAATGATGTAGTCAAATAATGTCTCTGATATAGAATGGCAAAACTGGATTATTTTCAAGTCATGAATGGTTGAATTTGTGTATACAGAGGACTGACTATAATTTCATAGTAACCATTCCACATACCAAAGCTACTGATCAGCCTCACGATGGAATTATTGAATTGAATGTTTGCCTGCAAAATAAGTGACTATGGAATAGTGCAATTTATGGAATGGCTCCTGGAATATTCTTTTGGACTGTGTGGTTTTTAATGTAACAGATTACGTTAAACAGATTTAAAGATTTTATGTTTTAACTATTGATTTTAATATATATGTTTTATTTTATGTATGTAAAATTGGCATTGAATTATGCCTTTTTTGTAAGTTGCCTTGAGTCCCCTGTGATGTTGAGAAAGATGGGATATAAATGAAGTAAATAAGTAAATAAATAAATGTATTATGTTGGGAGCTGCCCTGAGTCCCCCTGGAGAGATAGGGTGGACTACAAATAAAGTATTATTACTATGTCAGCTCCGGCCTCTCATGCAGGGACATGAGAGAAGCCTCTCACAGAATGGTAAAACATCCAGCCATCCCTTGGGCAATGTCCTTGCAGAAGGCCAATTCTTTCACACCAGAAGCAACTTGCAGTTTCTCAATTCTCTCTTGACATGGAAAAATAACTCCTATGGCTACCTCTAGTGGTACCCAGACTGTGAAGCACTTGATTTGAAAAGCCCCCAGTGCTTGTCTCTATCACCAACTACATTCATATAATGAAGACTGTTGCAATATTTACAATTTTGCAAAATACCACTAGAGGGCATTATAATCACATATTTAACTGATTCCAAGCTATTGAAAAGGTAGATACTAGTAGCAAGACAGCCTCCAAAGACATTTCTCTCTTATTAGGCCACCATAGGTCTGGCTGTTACTGGAAATAAAGTAGCGAATGTCAATGGGACTTATTCCTTCCTAAAACTAGAATACGAAACATACTTACCTGAGGGTAATCGCCACCTGACTCAAAATATGGAATTGACTTTTGAAAACAGATTGATTTTAATAGGTTTCTACAGTATAGATTCTATACTATAGAATGAATGCAGTTTGACAATACTTTGACTGTAATGACTCAATGATATGGAACCATGGGATTTGTCATTTTAATAATAATAACACTTTATTTATATTCCGCCCTTCTCACTCTGAAGGGGACTCAAAGTGGATCACAGTACATATCTTTGGCAAACATTCAATGCCACTTTATATAGACAATACACAGACAGACAGAACAGGAGGTGGTTTGTTTCAGCTGTTTTTGGTGCCATGGAAGGTTGAGCTTGAGTCCAGGGGGTGCTGTTGCTCTATTCTGTATGAGCCATAAGGACTTCCTCCTTCCTTTTGGTCACCCAGCATTTTCTGATCTTTATGGCGTTGTAAAACACCTCCCCCGCTTTTTAGTGGTACCTTATTCCTCTAATTGCAACTAAAGCTGTTTTCGAATTGCTTAGGTAAACAATGAGATAGGGCGACAGTTAGTAGCTCACGCCAACCCGGGGTTTTGAACTTGCAACCTTTTGGTTGATAGATCTTATAACTGCTGATGATTTACCAGCTGTGCTAAACCTCTGGCCCCTCAATCTACAATCTGCAAAGGTCTATTGTCCCCAGTGGTGCAGCAGGTTAAACCACTGAGCTGCTGAACTTGCTGACTGAAAGGTTGGCGGTTTGGATCCGGGGAGTGAGGTGAGGTCCTGCTGTTAGCTTAGCTCCTGCCAACCTAGCAGTTCAAAAATATTCAAACGTGAGTAAAGCAATAGGTACTGTTTGTGCGGGAAGGTATACGTGTTACATACAGTCATGCTGACCACATGACCTTGGAGGTGTCTACGGACAATGCTGGCTCTTCAGCCTAGAAATGGAGATGAGCACCAACCCCCAGAATCGGACACGACTAGGCTTAATGTCAGGGGAAACCTTTGCCTTTATCTTTTATTCCATCAGAACATTAGGAAGAACTTCCTGACTGTGAGAGCCGTTCAGCAGTGGAACTCTCTGCCTCAGAGTGTGGTGGAGATGCATTTAAGGTGCATGCTCTTAAGATGCATTTGAGGAAGTAGGCTTAGGGTACATCTGCACCGTAGAATTAACGAAGTTTGACACCAGTTTAATTGTAGAGCTCAATGGTATGGAATAATTTCGGTGTTGTAGTTTTACTAGATCACAGAATAATAGAATCCTAGAGTTGGAAGAGACCTCGTGGGCCATCCAGTCCAACCCCTGCCAAGAAGCAGGAAAACTGCATTCAAAGCACCCCTGACAGATGGCCATCCAGCCTCTGTTTAAAAGCTTCCAAAGAAGGAGCCTCCACCACACTCCGGGGCAGAGAGTTCCACTGCTGAACGGCTCTCACAGTCAGGAAGTTTAGTTGGAATCTCCTTTCTTGTAGTTTGTAGCCATTGTTCCACATCCTAGTCTCCAGGACAGCAGTAAACAAGCTTGCTCCCTCCTCCTATGACTTCCTCTCACATATTTATACATGGCTATCATGTCTCCTCTCAGCCTTCTCTTCTTCAGGCTAAACATGCCCAGCTCTTTAAGCCGCTCCTCATAGGGCTTGTTCTCCAGACCCATTTTAGTCGCCCTCCTCTGGACACATTCCAGCTTGTCAATATTCTCTGCCAAAGACAGCTAGTAACCTCACCAAACCACAACTCCCATGATTCCATAACAGTGAGTCACTAAAGTGGAATTCAAAGTGCATGAATGCCTCTTGAATGTGTGGCAATGGCGCTGGAGAGAAGAGAAACACCCTAACAGCTCCCAGCACTCTTCCTTCCTGTCGCGGGAAGATAACGTCAGAAGAGGGGCGTGTCCCCCAGTCTGTCACCTCCCCGGCAAACAGGAGAGTCCGAGGATCCCACTGCAAAGATGCACCACCGGGGAGTGGGGGCCGGTGCCATCGCCAAAAAGAAGCTGGCAGAGGTGGGATTTCCCCCTTCCTCCCCCCATATCTCTCTCTGTCATGGTATCTTCCTTTCATTCTCAGCCTTTGTAGATTGGGGAAGGACGGGTTCATTTCTCAAGACGGGGGGGGGGGGAGGCGGATTTCCCCTTCATCCCCCATATTTCTCTCTTTCATCGTATCCTTGCATTCCCAGACTTTGTAGATTGTAGAAGGACAGGTTCATTTCTCAAGACGGGGGGAGAGTCGGATTTCCCCCTTCCTCCCCCCATATTTCTCTCTTTCATGGTATCTTCCTTGCATTCCCTGCCTTTGCAGATTGGGGAAGGACGGGTTCATTTCTCAAGCGGGGGGAGGGAGGTGTCAAAGTTTGGATTTCCTTCTCCCCCGTACCTGGTCTTTTGGATACAACTACACTTTAGAATTAATGTACATCGACACCACTGCCGTGGCTCAATGTTATGGAATCCTGGGAGTTGTAGTTTTACAAGTCTTTCCTGCCAAAGGGTGCTGGTGTGTGTCACCAAACTACAACTCCCATGGCTGTTTAGCTGAGAAGGCTAAAAGACTTTGCAAAACTTCCGACCTTATCACACTAGAGAATGAATCCGCTTTAAATCCGGTGCAATTAGCATTTAATGGCCTCGCAGCTTCAAAGACTGGCTGATTCCTGCCTGGGGGCAATCCTTTGTTGGGAGGTGTTAGCTTGCTCTGATTGTAAATAATCAGTAATAAAGTAAATAACTAAATAAGGACAGTAAATACAGAGGACTACTCAAACAACAGGGGAATTCCAGACATGAAACAATCAGGGCCAGCTAACACCTCCCAACAAAGGATCCCCCACCCCCACCCCCGGGCAGGAATCTGCAAGTCTTTGAACCTGCAATTTATTTATTTATTTGGAACATTTATATCCCGTCCTTCTCAACCTCCGAAGAGTGACTGGATGGCTACCAACAGGCACTATTCAATGCCAACACAAAATAAGGCATAGTATAAATACATTTAGTACAAATTAAGACAGTTACAAATATATATTAAAAGGCCATTCAATGCCAATGAAGGTGACCAATTACAACATTCACACTTGCCTCAAACAGACAAGAGTTCTTTCTCCCCTGGACATTCCACAGATATATAAACCCCACTTGCCTAGTTTCCAACAGACCTCACAACCTCTGAGGATGCCTGCCATAGATGTGGGCAAAACGTCAGGAGAGAATGCTTCTGGAACATGGCCATACAGCCCGGAAAACTCACAGCAACCCAAAACTACAACTCCTACAATTCAGTTTGGCACTACTGCCATGGCTCAATGCCATGGAATTGTGGGATTTATAGTTTAGTGAGGCAGTAGCACTCTTTGGGCCCTCTGGGGGTGCAGTGGGTTGAACCACTGAGTTGCTGAACTTGGTGACCGAAAGGGGAGCGGGGTGAACTCCCGCTGTTCCCAGCTTCTGCCAACCTAGCAGTTTGAAAACATTCAAATGTGAGTAGATCAATAGGTATCGTCTTGGCAGAGAAGGCTAAAGATGTTGTCAAAATTATAGCTCCCACAATCCCATAGCAATAAGTTAAGTGTACTTCCTCAGATGCTTCTTGCTTTAGTCTACCAAAACATATAAGCAGAGGCTGGATGGCCATCTGTCAGGACTGCTTTGATTGTGTATTCTTGTATGGCAAGGGTTTGGGCAGATGGCTGTTGCGATTTTGTCCAACTCTATGATTTTGTCATTATGAATGCTAATAACAACAACGACAAAAACAACTTTTTTTTTATACCCTTCCTTCATCTCCCTGAAAAGACTCGGGGCGGCTTACACATGGGACAAAATGTCTGCAAAACATCAAAGCAAAACAATCCATTAAAACAAAAATACAAATAAAATAAAATATAGCGAAACATAACAATCAGATAAAAACACAATTAAATACAACATAAAGGTATAATATGCTACTGACTTCATTCTTTCAGTCTTTAAAGTGTTACAAGATCCCGTTCTAAAATAACGACAGCTAGTATTTACTCTCTGTGTTCTGGGCCTCTGTTCTGATGTTTGCTCAGTCAACTTTTCCTTCCACTATCCAAGAAAATTAAGCCATTTCTTATTATTGCTTATATACTTTCTAGAAATGCAAACAATTTTTAAAATTTGCCCTTTTGATGATTCCCTTTTGATTCCCCGGTATCACTGTATTTTAAAAATAATTTGTTACTGCGTATGCATTTCGTTACTCAATTTCATGAGGCAGAGAGTTCTACTGCTTGGACTCACTAGTAAAAGCTGAGTTCTAGGTGCTTGTCAAACAGACTTCCAATGAATCCTCCACAGTTGCTTCCTATGATGACCTTAGAAACAAGACCAAACACCCAGGAGAACAATAGAACTTTGATTTTAACAATGGGTTGTTGTCATTTTTTTCTCCTTTGTAGGCAAAATACAAGGAACGTGGGACAGTTTTGGCTGAGGACCAGTTAGCCCAGGTGAGGTGTGGGATGCACCACTGGTTGCTTTTGGACTTGGAGGGATGATTATTGCATAATGTGTGACCGTATAAGCCCTTTTCTCTATTAGCCCAGGCTTTTTATGTACAATGCATATTTAATCTTAGAACCTATTGCCCTTCATGTTGTCATGATCGCAGGCAACAGTTAGGAAAAGACCACAGTTTGAAACCAACTTTGTGGTCAACATCTGATGGAAATACATCATAGATTGATGCTGGAAGATCTAGACATTCTGAAGGGAAACACCCCTTTGGACATTTGTAGGATCTCCAGCATGATTTTGCAGTAAACCACTGCTGGAAGTAGATCATAGTGACATGCTGGATGACCTAGAGCAGCGTTTCTCAACCTGGGGATTGAGACCCCTGGGGGGGGGGGGCATGAGGGGTGTCAGGAGAGGGATCTCTAAAGACCATCAGAAAACACAGTATTTTCTTTTGGTCATGGGGGTTCTGTGTGGGAAGTTTGGCCTGGTGTTCTGGACTTCAACTCCAACAATTCCTAACAGCCTCAGGTCCCTCCCTTTTCCCCGTCGACCGTGGCAGAGGGTGTCAGAGGGGTCTCCAAAGAACCTTCCTAAAATACAGTCTTTTCTGTTGGTCATGAGGGTTCTGTGTGGGAAGTTTGACCCAATTCTATCATTGGAGGGGTTCAGAATGCTCTTTGATTGTAGGAACTATAAATCCCAGCAACTACAACTCCCAAATGTCAAGGTCTATTCCCCCAAACTCCATCAGTGTTCACATTTGGGCATACTGAGTATTTGTGCCAAGTTTGGTCCAGATCCATCATTGTTTGAATCCACAGTGCTCTCTGGATGTAGGTGAACTACAACTCCAAAACCCCAGATCAATGCCCACCAAACCTTTCCAGTATTTTCTGTTGGCCATGGGAGTTCTGTGTGCCAAGTTTGGTTCAATTCCATCACAACCTCACAACCTCTGAGGATGCCTGCTATAGATGTAGACAAAACGTCAGGAGAGAATGCTCCTTGAACATGGCCATACAGCCCGAAAGACTGACAGAAACCCGGTGATTCCGGGCATGAAAGCCTTTGACAATACAGTTCAATCATTGGTAGAGTTCAGAATGCTCTTTGATCATAAGTGAACTATAAATCCCAGCAACTACAACTCTCAAATGACAAAATCAACCCTTCCCCAACTCTACCAGGATTAAAATTTGGGTGTATCAGGTATTTGTGCCAAGTTTGGTCTGTGTGCCAAGTTTGGTTCAATGCCATCGTTGGTGGAGTTCAGAATGCCCCTTGATTCTAGGTAAACTATAAATCCCAGCAACTACAACTCCCAAATGACAAAATCAACCCTCCACCCCACCGGTATTCAAATTTTGATGTTTTGGGTATTTGTGCCAAATTTGGTCCAGGGAATGAAAATACATCCTGCATATCAGATATTTACATTATGATTCATAACAGTAGCAAATTACAGTTATGAAGTAGCAATGAAAATAATGTTATGGTTGGGGGTCACCACAACACGAGGAACTGTATTAAGGGGTCGCGGCATTAGGAAGAGTGAGAAACACTGATCTAGTGATTCATAGCACGGTTTTAATATTTGCAGCTTTCTCAGTTCCTGAACCCCCAACCCTTGCAAAAGTAGAGTCTCTACTGTACTGTACTGACTTTGTCTAATCTTAATGTGCAGACTTTTACGGTGTGTGTGAAAAGCAGACACAAAAGAACTTTGAGATCAATTGTTTCTTTGTGGAAATGTGTTTGGATGCTTCTTTTGTATACCTACTAGTTTGTTATTGGTCTGAAAAATTGTTAAGGAAGAATACAACTAACCTTTCAGGTTTAGCCTAATCCACCTCTCTTTTGTCTTTCTTGACTTCACGCACAGATGTCCAAGCAGCTGGACACGTTCAAAACAAACCTGGAAGAGTTTGCCAGTAAACACAAACAAGAGATTCGTAAAAATCCCCAGTTCAGAGTCCAGTTCCAAGACATGTGTGCAACGATTGGGGTTGATCCGCTGGCCTGTAAGAAACGGGGAGCTGGGGTTTGTTGGAGAGAGAAAGAGGGAGAAGGGAATTCCTGGTAGATTTGGGCACATTAGGTTTTTATTGGATTGCAATATATGGTGAAATGTAATGCCACTTGCAGTCTAACAAAAGAAAGTAAATTATTGCAATACGGTTATTTATTTATTTACCGTATCAAAAGCAAATCAAGGGTACAGTTGGATTGTATTTAAAAAGCACAAAGTTTAAAAACTTGGCATTGTATTAAATAATGTAATAAGTAATGAACTCTTGGAACAATGGGTGGTTTTATAAAAAGAAAATGTAATTTTTCATATATTTACATTTCTTTTCACTTTCTTTTCTGCAGCTGGCAAAGGATTCTGGTCCGAAATGTTGGGGGTTGGAGATTTCTATTATGAATTAGGGGTCCAGATTATTGAAGTCTGTCTGGCTTTGAAGCACAGAAATGGAGGTGAGGATCATATCCAGTACTCAATCTTCCCAGGATTGTATATGTATATGTATGTGTGGTATATATGTTTATCACTAACTCTTCACTTTCTCCCCCCACTTTTGGCATCATTTGCTAGTATCCGCAAACTTCTTTTGCTCTCAATGCTCTATCAGTTTGAAATTGGTTATGTTTAATGTAACATCAGGAGCCCCGGTTAAAGCGCTGAGCTGCTGAACTTGTTGACCGAAAGGTTGCAGGTTCGAATCTGGGGAGCAGGGTGAGCTCCCACTGTTAGCCCCAGCTTCTGCCAACCTAGCAGTTTGAATACATGCAAATGTGAGTAGATCAATAGGTACCGCTCCAGCGGGAAGGTAACGGCACTCCATGCAGCCACGCCGGCCACATGAACTTGGAGGTGTCTACGGACAACACCGGCTCTTCGGTTTAGAAATGGAGATGAGCACCAACCCCCAGAGTCAGACATAACTGGACTTATTGTCAGGGAAAAACTTTTACCTTTACTAATATAACATCACCTTTAGGCAGAATTATGCCCCATCACCTTTAATGAGACTTATTCCCTGGTATATGTGTATAGGATTTCCAACACAGGTTAAGCAACACTCAGCAGTGTTTGGAAAACAATATTTGGGGGACCACATGCTTCTTAGCCCTGTTATATAGGATTGCTATTTTGGTCTGTTAATACAGTAGGTTAGATTCAGATTTCCCATGTTTCTGGCTGAATCTTAACATACTTTCTGGGTTGCTGTGAGTTTTCCGGGCTGTAGGACCATGTTCCGGAAGCATTCTCTTCTGACATTTTGCCCACATCTATGGCAGGCATCCTCAGAGGTTGTGGTGTCTGTTGGAAACTAGTCAAGTGGGGTTTATATATCCGTGGAATGTCCGGTTTGGGAGAAAGAACTCGTCTGCCTGAGACAAGTGTGACTGGTGCAACTGGTCACCTTGATTAGCACTGAATGGCCTTTCAGCTTCAGAGCCTGCCTGCTTCCTGCCTGGGGGAATCCTTTGTTGGGAGGTGTTAACTGGCTCCGATTGTTTCATGCCTGGAATTTTCCAGTTTTCTGAATGTTATTCTTTATTTACAGTCCTGATTTTAGAGTTTTTTAAATACTGGTAGCCAGATTTTGTTCATTTTCATGGTTTCCTTCGACAACACTTTGAACATGCTTTCTTCTTCTCAACTAGGCCTAATAACACTGGAGGAGCTCCACCAGCAAGTGCTCAAGGGAAGAGGGAAATTTGCCCAGGATGTCAGCCAGTAAGCATTGTGTTGGGAGATCAAGTGATCTCTTGTTAAATTCATTATTTTAGGGTGCTTGAAAAAAATAAACCCTGTAGCTCAAGTAAATGTGACTATCCTACTTGGCTGTGGCTGTACAGCTTTCAGTGGCCAGGCCGAGGACACAACAGGTAGATGGGTTTTGATAAGTATCTCACCTTCCCACCAAAATGGGACTCAAAAGCGACTAGCCTGATGCCCTCAGTTGTGTGGTGTTAGTAAAATTCAGCTCTCAACCCAATGAGTTTGTATACATGGAATAAGACTGGGGATGGGAGGGCAGAATCTACCTCAGGCCAGAAAATGTTTTGATCCGTGTCTCATTTCAAATACATTTTAACAGCTGTAAGAACTAGAAACGTGTGTTTGTGTATATGTGCTTCACATCAAAGTTTCGATACTAAAGAAGCCTAGTTTTATATCATGTGCTTTTGTTTTTTGGCTTCCAAAGAATTGCAACCTACTGAACTGAGATTTGCAGTTCCCCTAACTTCAGTCCAAGCCTGACTTTTATTTCCTTGGCTCTTCAGGGATGATCTCATCCGAGCGATTAAGAAGCTGAAAGTTCTAGGAAATGGCTTTGGGATCCTTCCTGTCGGCGGAACCTACCTGATCCAGTCTGTGCCAGCAGAACTGAACATGGATCACACTGTTGTGATACAGCTTGCTGAGGTAGGCATGCAAAGAGGGGATGAGCTAGCGTGAACCTGAGTTGCCTCTTCTCTTCTAACTCTTTTTAAAGAAATCTTTTACCATCAGTCGCATCTCAAGATCTGACCACGTTAGATCCCGGTGGCGCAATGGGTTAAACCCTTGTGCCGGCAGGACTGAAGACCGACAGGTTGGAGGTTCAAATCTGGGGAGAGTATGGATGAGCTCCCTCTGTCAGCTCCAGCTCCCCATGTGAGGACATGAGAGAAGCCTTCCACAAAGATGGTGAAACATCAAAAACATCCAGGCGTCCCCTGGGCAACGTCCTTGCAGACAGAAAATTCTCTTACAACAGAAGCGACTTGCAGTTTCTCAAGTTGCGACTGACATGACCCCCCCTCCCCAAAAAAACCCCCACGTTCATGCAGGATATGTAGCATTAGTTTATAACAAAATTTAGTTTAGAACAGAATTCAAAGGCAGACACGTTACTTTGATAGATCAGTATAGATGGGCCTTTAAATCAGATGGGAGGGTGGGTTCACCCGCCTGCCAGCCTTTCTCTTCTGAGCTATGAATCCTTGCTTATAAAGAGGACTTGATTCAATATGACCTTCAGTCTGCTTACTGGTCCAACGTTTCCACTCATTAGGTTGTTGTAGGTTTTTTCCACAGATACGTTCCACAGATACATAATCCCAATTTTCCGAGTTCCAACAGACCTCACAACCTCTGAGGATGCCTGCCATAGGTGCAGGTGAAACGCCAGGAGAGAATGCTTCTAGAACATGGCCATACAGACCCCCAAAAACCTATAAAAACCCAGTGATTCCAGCCATGAAAGCCTTTGACAATACGTTTCCACTCATCTTTACATGTTAGTGGACAGCTTTTGAAATTAATGCTTTTTCTTTTTTTTCCCTTTCAGAAAAAGGGGTATGTAACTGTCAGTGAAATTAAGTCCAGTTTAAAGTGGGAGACAGAACGAGCCAAGCAGGTGCTGGTATGTAAAAATATAAATATATTACTTTTCCTACTAACATGAAGCCAAATTTCGCAGCAGTATTGCATTGGGAGTAATTTTTTTGTGGGAATACCAATCGTTATATTTGCAGAGACAAATACGGACTAGAAATCTGTTATTTTACTTTCATCCTTTTCTATCTAAACATTGAAGTAATATCCTATAGCATTAGATTAACTTTTTGGCCTGCAATTCCCAGAATCCCCAGTAGGTATGCTAGTGAGGCGATTACTGAAGTTGTAGCCAAAAGGGTAGATTTCTTATGCTCTTCATATGTTATAGTGGTGTAGTTACTGGAAAATAACCTTGTGTCATCTGTGGTAGCAATATTTGCAATAGCTGCCAGGAAGTTACTCATTTCATTAATCACTGCAAACGTTTTTAATCATTTGTTTTAAACGACTGTTTGTCAATCTATTGCATGAACAAAGTTGGAGCTAAGTGGTTGCACGTTATACTGTAAAATTAGAAAAATACAATCTATGGAATAAACATCTGTGGTTTCTTTTACCTGTGTAAAAGAAGGTGTTTGTGGGGCTCTCTAGGTCCTTCAGTATGATTCTGTGGTACTTTTCTGGCCTAAGTATCTATATAAATAAAAATGTAATGTTCGTTTGTTGGATTAACATAACTAAAAAACCACTGGACGAATTGATACCAAATTTGGACACAATACACCTATCAGGCCAGTGAGTGGCCATCACTCATAAAAACACAGCGGTAGGGACTTACAAAGCCAAAAAATAAAAAAATACATTACAACTCATGCGCAAAACCACACACATATATACATATGTACACAAATATATACACACAAAAAACACATATACATAGATTGGGCCACAGCAACGTGTGGCAGGGGACCGCTAGTAGTAAATAAGCAATCTATTCACACAGCAGAATGTCTGAAGGTTTCATGGGAGCACTGCTGACTTATTTGGTGTGTGTAAGAAAATCTAGGATATTTTTACATACACATGTCCTAGTCCCGGACCATTCTGTGATATGATTCTTTCCCTTCCAATACAGGATCACCTGCTCAAAGAAGGCATGGCCTGGCTTGATACCCAGGCTCCATCAGAGCCGCAGTACTGGTTGCCTGCCCTCTTCACAGAGCTTTATTCTCAAGAAATCACTCCAGAAGAAGCCAAGGAAGCCTTACCTTGACAATCCATTGTATGATGGAATCAAATGACACATTTTGCATTAAATGGAGAAGCACCTCATATTTTAGTAACATAAGATGGAGCGGTATTGAATCCTTTTGAGTTTTTGTTCAATATCTTTATGTAAAGTGGCCACTGAATATGAGACTTCGACTAACTGTAGAGAAAGACATTTTGTTAGCAAGTTTCTAATTCTCACGACTGGGAAATCCTTTGTAAAGATAAAAACGTGACTGCATATGGACTATAGGATGTCTCTTTTCCATTCCGACTCAATTTCTAAACTCTACAATTATAGTAGGAAATATTTACCTTATATGTTGCCTGTTCCACCAAAGGAGAACACAATGCAACTGGCAAAAGAGAATGTTATCAAGCACAATTCAAAATATATTATTTAAGCTCTCTGCTGACACTCCTATGGGATATAGCTAAATCTGGACTGCAGAAGAAGCTGAGGGATTTGCGTGAAAGACACCTTCCCTTTTTGGAACTGCTCTGTGAGCTTCTGTCACAGGGATGACGAACATTGAGTCCCTAGGCCAAATCATGCCTTCCTGGGTGGCCCATACAACCTTCCCTATTGCAATACTGTTTGATTTCCCTTATTCTGAATGTTGGAAAGCCTCAATTAAGACATAGATTCTTGCTTATAAACAATACTCATTTGAGTGAATCTTCTCCTTAGTGGGAAATATCCACTAGTATTCATGCAAGGCAAATTAGGCTTCTCAGTTGTTAGACTGATATACCTGGTTATCTCTGAACAGTTAGGAACAAAGATATGCCAGTGCACAAAATATATAGCAGATGTTCAGAAGTGTTATTTCAGTTATATATAGTAATATATAATACTAATATACAGTAGAGTCTTGCTTATCCAACATAAACAGGCCGGTAGAACATTGGATAAGCGAAAATGTTGGATAATAAGGAGGGATTAAGAAAAAGCCTATTAAATGTCAAATTTTGTTATGATTTTACAAATTAAGCACTCAAAACATGTTTTACAATGAAGCGACAGAAAAAGCAGTTCAATTCACAGTAATGATATGAAGTAATTACTGTATTTACGAATTTAGTGCCAAAACATTGCAATGTGTTGAAACAGCTGTGGATTTGGGCAGGAGGCAGACTGCGTTGGATAATACAGAACGTTGGATGAGTGAAGGTTGGATAAGCGAGACTCTACTGTAGTTATTGATAGTAAGAACCTTAAGCAAAAAGACAGTTAAATAAGCGTCTTCAAGTTGTCCATCAACTTAGAGTGACATCATTTCATAAGGTTTTCTTAGGATCTGTTGTCTTCAGAGTATTTAAAATAAACTTCAGTTGTCTTCTTGGCCCAACCCTTTTCTCTTGGCTCAATACATTGTTGGAATGCATAACTGCGGAACTTTTCTAGAATTGAATCCAACCCCTGAAGAACCCGAGAGCCACAAAGCAGCACACAGAAGAAACGTCAGATCCTGCCAAAACAAACTTTATTGCACAAAAAACCCTTTATGTACAATTTTATATAAACAAGGTTTCATTATTTGAAAACCCTTGTGCATTTGTTTCATTTTTTTTCTCAGCTTGTTAGGCCTAAAATTCTGTCACTAAACATTTGTCTAGATCAGTCATCTAGGATTGTCACTTTTTGAAATGGAAACATTCAGAAAACCGCTGACAGATGACTACGGGCAACTAGAAAACCATATTCCTTTGTTTTGTTTTTTTCTTACATCCACATGCGAGCCGTGTGAAAAACAAACAACCACATAAGGCATTTTCATGTTTTGTTGTATGAGTGTGTTTAAAGGAAATGTTTGCAATGGTTCAACAGCCAACATGCGCCTGGTATTCTGATCACCAAAATGAGCCGGTGCTCTGAATTGGAAGCACGTCTAGTGCAGGGAACTACAGAATGGGGAGAAAAGCCAAATTTGTACAATTGGCACAGTCCAGAGAATATAAGGCCTACTATCCAAGTCCTACTGATTTCAGTGGGACTCATAACATTAACTGTGCATTCAAGTCCCTTTGATTTCAATGTGGGGGAAGAGGGTTAATCACATCTGACTTCCGATAGATTGCACCCCATAAGATTAAAAATGAACATGATACGATTAACTGCCTTGTGGGTGCCTTCTTCGCTAGGCATCAAAATGCAATCTTGCGCTGAAGTGCTTCTGTTTGATTCCATCAGCTTATTCATCACTCTTTAAGAGTCTTCTTCCCCCTCATGTGGCTTTAGTGGTGGGGATTGGGAAACAATTCTGTCCCATCCCAAATGCAGACATACAGAAATGTTTTGCTACCAGGAAAGCTCCTGAATGGTTTGAAGCAATGCCCCTTCCCTTTCTCTCCACTCCAGAGAGATGCAAGAAGAGCTGGAAGACTGTATGCCAGCAGATAGGGCCAAGCAGAGGAAGACAGGAAGGTGGTTGCCTGTGGAGTTCCATTCATCTTCATAAACTGGCTGAGTGCAAACCTCCCAACTCATCTTGCATTTTCCCCATCTCAGCTCTGGATAAGAATGTTCTCCTATAGGTTAATAATGTTCTTCCAGTTTTCAAACAATTTTAAGATGTTTCTAGAAGAACGAAGGAGGGGAGGAAGCACTCAAAAGGTTTCTGGATCTGTCTACGAACTAAACTAATAATAATAATAATAATAATAACCAGCCGGGAGAGTGGTTGTCGTCAATTCAATCTTCAGAAAGTGTGTCCTTCAAGTTGCAGCCTTATCTCTATCACAGCAGAGCAAGCTGAGAGAAAGGATTTATGGCAGATTTGATAGCGACACACGCGCGTGCAATCCCAGACTTCACTTTCAACAGAGGATTTTGTCAAAAGGAGATCACGTCCTTCAACAGAGCACTTCAATGGTTCCTGTTTACGCTTGAATCTGTAATCTGATTCACATTGACGCTGCCCAGGTTACCTGTATGATTTGGACATCACTAAACTCTTAACTGTTTCTTCCAAAAACTGGGAGGTCCAACTGCATGATGTAATCTCAAAGCTTCCAGTTAGCATGGTTGGGCTTCCTTTCTACATATGTACTCTCTTATGCTGTGAACGCTACCAGTAATGCAAAACTGGGTCTCCTCAGTAGCACTCTGTTTTCCTGAACTGGAACACTAGGCCCTCCTCCAAATTAGATGCAACTTAAAGGGCTTTTTTTCTGGGAACGACCAAAATGAATGTTGTAACATGAAATAACGCTTGTTGCTCTCAAGCTTGAAACATTTAAATTTTGGGGTTTTTTTCTTTCCCAAATGAAATTCAAGGGCAGGGGGAAGTTCAACAAATGAGTAAAGCTTTGACAACTTAAATCGCCACACAGCCATTCCAGCTAAAACTCCTCCTCTTTGGTCTTTCTAAAACAGACAATACCAACCCGACTAAGAAGCTACAACAAAGCAAATATGAAAAATTTTGTGATGATGGTGGCAGCGGGGACTTGTTTATATAAACTGTCAAAAAGTGCTTTAACAGACTTGATGATGGCTGGGAGTCCACCATGGCGGGGGGCAAGCCGGGAGGGAGGTGCTACGAGGAAGCAGTATGTTTTGGAACCAAGACGATGAATCCGACAGTCATTCTCAATCTCATGCTCTTTTAGAATCAAGAGGGAGGAAGTTAGGCAGGAAGAGACAGAAACCCATCTATCACAGGTTCTTCCAGAATGCCTGTATGCCAACGGCTCGTACGTTCTCCAGTGGAGAAAAGGACCATTTTCAAAATATCGCCTGTGACAAGCCCAATTCAGTTTTAGCATCAAATCCTCTTTTTTGTTTTTAAACAAAAAACCAGAGCACTGAAGGAGATGACCAAAGGATGCTTCTCTGCCCAGGTTGTCTCCACTCTGGAACCAGACTGGTTCTCGAGTCTAGCCAGGATCCTCCACAGCGCCTGGAGTCAGAAGATCCCCACCCCTAGGTCTTGGGTTCCCAAGCAATTAGATGGGAGATCTCTAAGCCTTAATGCTGCCTTGAGTGTCCGTCTCCGTTTCAGAGGAACTGCTCTCTGAGTCTATGTCTGGGTTTTCCTGCTGGTGTTTCTCCTGCACCTTGAGACGAATTCCTTGCAAACGCACTAGAAGAGACTGGTAGTCAAAGTGTCCTCGCTTCTCGCCGAAAGGATCCTGGAAAGAAAAATGTGAATTAAACTAAGATGGCAGCAAAGGAAGATCTGGTTTTAATGAGGCATTTTTCAGAAATATTATAAATTAACTAGGTATTTTTAATTACAAAAATGTGAGTCAAGCATTGAAAGGGTTAAATGGATGCAATGACTCAGCAAAAGCTGCAGTTCAACATAAGCAGGTGTGCCTGTAGCTTAGTGGGCCTCTGTGTTAGTTTGCCTCAGTGGGAGAAAAGTCTCAATCTGTGAGAAGGCCTCACAGTGTGAGGTAGGCCTTAGTCTGTGAGAAGCTTCGGTGAGAGAAGCTCCAGGTTGAAGGCCTCGTGTGTAAAGCTGTATGTAAAAAGCTCCAGTGTTAAGTTCTGTGTGAGAGGAGGATCTGTGAGAGGGAAGCTGTTTATCTGCATAAGAAAGAAGCCCAGAGTGGAAGCAACGAAGGAAGTATAATGAACTTCATTTGTGTTATAGAAACCTTGTTCTTGTAAATAGTGCAACCATATTATTTTAGTACAAAGAAAAGCCTCCTATGGATAACATTTTTCTGTGTGTTTTTGTTCTTTTTATCACTTTGGGCTACTGGTGCTGGGTCACGCTGCTGCTAATAAGTTACCTTACTGTACATTTATGGGGAGGGTCTTTTGTTAATAAGCCCACTCGCTCAACAGCATCTGCTGTACATGAGAAGAGATTTCCAATGAGAAGTTATAACTCCTCATCCTAAATTATATTGTGATTTTCCACTTGTTTACTCAAAAGTAAGCTGTCCCCCTCCAGGACAAAGAACAGAAGCAAAGACACAATTTAAGCAACAGAGGCAATAAACATCTAGCATTATACCAGGCCTTCTTAAATGACTGTGTGAGAAAATGGCAGCTGGGCCAAAGTAGCACTTTCCTGTCTTTATGGAATGACACTGAGTAGTTTCAATTCTCCAGCTTTATCTGGTTCAATGCTAAACCTCAGACACTATTTCAAAAGCCTCACAGGAAGTTATTTGTTCTTGTTTCTACTAGTACAGAATCGTAAGAGTCATGAGTAAATTACATCTCAGGTTGAAGGATCAAATGGATAAAACTTACAGAAAATTGTTTTCAAAGACTGAATCTACGTGGAAACTTCCCACCCTCCCCACAAGTTCAGAGAGTCCAAATCTTTCCTCCCTGGCCTCTTGACTTGACTCTGCTCCAACAGTCAGGCTAGATTTGAGTCTTGCCTAACTTCCACTGTCTCACACCGCAACCTTCAGCTCATTTCTGGTGCTGCAAACAGACCAGACCCAAGTTATTTTCACTAATTTACAACTCTCTGAATCCCACTTCTTCAATGGAAAACCAAACAAGGCAACCTATTTTCTGTGTTTTTAAAATAAACCAATTAAGAGATGACATCTAACTATGAGTTCACTACCTCATCCTTACCTGCATTGTCTGTCCTTGGAGATGCAGCCTTTCTTTGCACACCCCCTCGTAGAAATCATAATACTCCATGAAGGACTTCTCCATAACGCCACTAGCAAACAAAATCAGCAAAGCATGAAGCCACATAGTAAGAATACAATGGAAAATTCATCCAGGGGGTAATTACCTACTGTGGGCTGTGAAAAATGTTTTAAGCAGACATACCCCAGGTTGTTTTACAGAATTATCTAAGGCAGTGGTTCTCAACCTGTGGGTCCCCAGATGTTTTGGCCTTCAACTCCCAGAAATCCCAGCAGCTGGTAAACTGGCTGGGATTTCTGGGAATTGTAGGCCAAAACACCTGGGGACCACAGGTTGAGAACCATTGACTAACACAATAGCTAGAAGCATTTTACATCTAGTATCCCAGCACTCTTCACAGAAATTTTGTAAGGGCAATGCATATTTTTTCTTTCACACATTACATAGGAAAAAATATTTGTACAGGGAATAAATTCTACTGTAAGTGCGTAAATAGTAAGGTTCACTATCATTTTAGTCTTATCACGATGGGTTTTCTGTGGCCACATTTGCACAAATGATAAAAGTCATCCTTTAGAGAATCACAAGCTGGCCTGCAGAAACGCAATTCCCAATCATTCCACTTTGCTTCTCCCATCAGTGAGAGATTCAATATATGGAAACTAAACAGAAGGGAAAGTGCAAACCATATGGAATTTTGGATGATCCCAAACAAGCCAGAGTGTGGCAGCTAGATTCAACAAAACAAATGACAGCAATGGGATGCAATGTGCCAGCATGCGCACTAAGGAATAATAAATGAGCAACCTCTAGAATGTAAGATCATTGTCCTGTGCAAATGTGGTCTCTCTCTCATTTGGACATACCATAAGGGGGAGTATGTGAAATCCAATATTATTTTAAGCTATTGAAATACAGAAGTATTCCTGCTTTGCCTATTAGCTGCATTAGTCAATCAGCTCCCAAAATCTAA